CCCTCATGCAGCTTTGAAATACCCCTGGGTAGATGAACATCCTGGAGTAATTAAAAGAATCAAAAGCTGAAGTGGAGAGAGAGCTGAGGGCCAGGCAGTGAGGCACCAAATTCATGCCCAACAGCATGAYTCGTGCCTGGCTGCCCTGTATGAGAACCAGATACACACATCTGAGTAAATCCCAAAGGCAGGGAAACAGRAGAGCAAAACTTCTTCATTTTGTTGTTTTTAAAGTGAACAACCATATTACCTAAGTAGAGACAGTACGTTGGATGTCAGGGCATGCAGCATTCCCTTTCTCCAAAAGGGAAATGGGGCTCAGAAGGAAAATCTCTTGGCACTGTAGGGGAACTGCAGTCTCACAGGCACATCCCCCTGCAACTGTGCCAGGGCTGGTGCAAAGGCATCACATCAAATGATAAGAACAATGAGCAACAGCAGCCTCAGAAACAGGGATAAGATCTTGTTCTTATCCTCAGAACTTCGAAATGGAGCTTGGGGTGGGAAATGAATTATTAGAGAACTTGAGAGTGAAGAGCACAGGTACTCAGCCAGCTTCAGGAAAATTACATCATTCAGGACTTAAYGCTGATTCACACACATTGGGGATCTCGGCACTTAGAGGCTTCAATTTCTAAATTAGCATCACACAGATGCACATGAAAATCCTGGCASAGTTAATAATCTTGCTAAGTATTCCAGGCATTATTTTTAAGCAGAAAAGAAAAAAACATCAACCCGAACTCACCACTCCAACCTCCATCCCCCCTCAAAAGAACCAGCAAAAAAAMCCCTGAATAATTACCAAGGTACCTGCCAAATCAAAATATGGTTTAATTGTTCTGTGTAAGTGCTCAAACAAAACATGTATAACACATCCCAGGAAAACACACTCATTTTTGCCTCCTTCCCCAAATAATAAGACATCCATTTGTCAGTGCATTTTTAAGTCTAAAAGACATATTAAAAAAAAAGTCCTACACCATAAATTTTTGGAAACATTGCTCAGATCCAGCTTTCATGAGAGACATCACTCCCAATGGCAGAATTTAAGCATTTGCTTTAACAATTTTGCAGTTTGTCTATTTTAGTGTTACCTAACAAGAGTCACTAAAGCACGATGGGCCAACCCCTCTTGTCTGTTGAAATGCAGATCACAGGATCTGTCGGTACTTTGCCAGAAGCCGTAAGGGATACACTGCTGGCTTCTCAGCACAGTCCCGCCTGCCTTGCAAGAGACATAAAAGCAAGTTGTTGTCTTTCTTTTGCTCTTTCTTGTTCCCCATGTCATTAAGAACAGCAAAGGCCGCAGTGAGCCCTCAGTGCCACTCAGCCCTCTGAGTGTCAGCAGCTCAGGGAGCAGCAGTGTCAAGTTTGCAATGAGCACACGCTCGGGGCTGTGCGAGCTCCAGAGACATTGGGCAGCCTGTGCTGCTGGGCATTCCGGAAAGCAGCAGCTCATCCCCCCGGATCATGGCCGTGGGACTGACGGGTCTGTTCAGCTGTAGTGGGGCAGACATTGCCGTGGGCTCTTGGAGGGGAGCTGGGCAAACAGTTCCTTTTAAATTGCTGACTGATTTTGAGGCACTCCACAGCATCACTAGGTGATGCTTACAAGGAAAATACTCTCTCAGTGCATTGCAAAGATCCCCTGTGCTAGGAAAACTTGGAGCTGACCAGAGACTCGCCYGCCCAGAGCCAGCCCTTCCTCCAGGCACACCATCYTATCTGGAGGRAGGCCTTGCAGATCTGCTTCTGGTTCAGCCTCAGAGCAGCACGGGGAGGTAGGAGTCCCMCACACCCATASCATGATGTGGGTGGGGAATGGATCKCATGCCACCTACACATTGCACCGTGTGCAATCAATAAAGTGGGTGTATTGAATGTCACAGATACATACCACTCCTAAACTCTTATCTGTCTGCACTGCTATCTGTGCCAGCTGCTCCTCCACCTACCTAAAGGCCTTTTGGTTATGGAAGCCCACAACTCACAAGGATATTTTACTTCTGCAGAGATATGTTGCTTATGCCCACCTTGAAACCAAGTAGAAAACAAATGCTCTTATTTGGTATGGAAAAGTGACCTGCTCTCTCAGGTGGGAGGAGTAGCCCCCTTCTGTGTGATTTACTGAGACGTGGAAGCTGATTTAGCAAAGGCAAAAAATAGCTTGCTTGTTTTTTTAGTTGGATATGATTTACCTGTGGCACTGGAAATGGCAACCAGTCATTCCTGCTCTCTTCCACTATCTTTGTTTGGGAGCTTGCAGGGTTTACCAAAATGTCAGTCCAGGTCCAGATAAGGGGCCTGTGGTACTACCATGCTGTTGGCTGCATGGCATTTCTTATCTTCTTTTTTGCTGATATCCCTGTTGGGAATCTTACACAGATAAAAATAGGCTACACAATGTCTGCTTCTTCTTCCCAAWGATTTGCAGACAGATACTTGCCAAGTGCTTAGTGACTCATTTATTTGGGAAAAAAAATGACTACAACAACGCAATCTGCAAACCCACACCATATAAGAAGCATTTTTAACAGTTCACTGAGACCTTGTGTAGAACAGATATTAGCAACCTGCTCTTCTTTTTCTCTAAGGAGTGATGACTACAACTCCAGGGGCCCAATTCCCATTGCTTTTTTTCTTTTGGAAGACACTCTATGAAAAGTGTACATGACACCAGTCTGGAGACCCAAGTTATTGAGCAGAGCTTGGGTGGACAGGCATGGACTGGGCTGGTGGAGCTGCCAACACTCTGTCCTTGGCAGGAGTCTGGACACTAAATCTCAAGAATACTTTGCTGCTCTGTGATTCTGGTCCAGTAATCCATTTACCCAGTGATAAGTTGCTTTGGAGGTGTTTTTCAGCAGCTYGTGCAACACTGCACTGGGTGTTCTGGAGGGGAGTAAGTGCTGTGCTTCTCTGAGGATGTTTTCTTAACTGAATACACCTGGTCAGCAGAACCTTTACTAAGATATAGACAGAATAGTCTCTGAAAACAAAAATAAAAGGGGATAAGAAAAAAGAAAGACCTCCATGAACAAAGAGACCAAACTTTTGCCACTTACCACTGAGTGCAATGTCATTGTCTGTACTCCTGCATTGCAGCAGCTGTAGGCAAACTGATTCCTCAGACAAGGGCTCTTGCAAGGCCAAATCCAAACAAAGGAGCCACAAGATTATTTGCAAGCGTAAAGATAAAAAGATCTAGATCTTCTATGTACCACTTTTTTTCTTAGTGCCACTCATGTCTGAAAATCCCCGCAGCTCTCCAAAAAAAACCATCTTGCTGAGGCACAGAGCAGTTCAGGAGACACCAAAAAAACACAGTGTTTGTGAGTGGCAGARCAGGAGTCAGGAGTCCCGGTACTTTGCTCTACCCAGAAACAGTATAGGTAGGACACAAAATGCCAGGGTGGATCAGTGTCTATCATTCAAAGCTGTCAAGAAAGCATGTTTGAGTTTCCCTGATGGGAGAAGCAGACATCTCAAAGACTGTTTTCAGAAAAGGGCTGGTGTTTTCCCATGTCCTTGGTAGACACTTCCCATTGAATTCTCTTCTACAACTTGTCAGCCTGAATGCATCCTTCTGAGTTTCATTAGGGAACCAAAAAGCTGGAGGTTTTGATCTAAGCAAAAATTCTCCAGCTCTCTACCATCTCACCTCCATGATACAATTTAATCAATACCTACCTCTATTTAAATATCACCATCTCTTATTCATGATGCTGGAAAGGCCTGGAACAATTAATTACTATAGATGACTATTCTCTATTCAGTAAACAAAAAATTTAAAATTTTGGCATTATATTTTTTAATAATAAATAGAAAATATTTATTTTACAGCATTTTCAAGATAATTTTGACAAAAAGGCAGTTTTCATCAAGCATTTGACAGACCAAAAGAAATAACTTCTACAGAAAGCGTCATAGCTCATACAGCTGCATACACAAGGTGAGTTTTTGCTCTGTAGATATAGTTACGTATGTGTATGTTTCCAGTTTTAGCAATTACAAACTAAAAGCTAGTATACTGAATTTCAAGAAAACTCCTACTCATGATATAATTACATTGCAGTAATAAAATCAGTGCTTAATATGTTCAAAACAGACAGATATGAAAACAGTATAGTTCCTTGCCACATTGCAGTCTCCTCGTCTACACAAATGTGTTATATTTCTTTTTCTTATTTCTCTCAGGTCTTCAAAGACTGGCTTCTTAGCATCAGCTCTGTGCTACTGACAAAGTATGTTTTTGGAAACAGTACAGCAGATCTTATACTACAATTATTAGAAGATAGAATTCTTTGCCAGTGCAGTAATCAGCAAAGAAGATACGGCATTTTCCTCGTTGCTTTAATGAGTAATCAGCATTTTTAAAAAGTGAAGCAACAACAAAAAATATACCCCTAAAAGCCCCAAGCAGAAAAAAAAAAAAAAAATCAACAAAAAAAAAGGAAAACATATCTTTCAGCTTGAA